GGACCATGTGTCAGGGGTGGAAAAATGGCCGCGGACCACGTGTCAGGGGCGGAAAAATTTTGGGACCGGAGCTGGTCGTAACACAAAAAATTCGTAAGCAGAGGCGTTCATAACTCAAGGTACCACTGTATAATGGAGATATGATTCCCATGACAGCAGTTGAAGGATATCATTAGTTCAAAAGAAACAAGCAGTTACAAAATGAGAAGTGGTACTCCATGTTAAAAGCATCCATACCAACTAAGAAATCCAAGTGAATCCCTAGGATTAGTTGACTGGTTCAATTAATCCTTTTTTGGTATTTCCACAACACATTTAACCGGGAGGAGGCTGACTGGTTGTGGAAAAGCCAGTATGGTAGAGAAAGCATGCGGAATGGCTTCTGGAATTCCTTCCAAACACTTAATAGCTGCTGCCCAACTGTTTCTCCCACAAGGATACATCAGGGAACCTTTTTTCTCTGCAGCCCCCAACTAGACCTGGCCCATTTTTGAATGCCATCTTTCTTTCAGCATTCTGACAGAATTCTGTCTTTAGAGAGTTATCCAGCAAATAGGCAGAGTTCCTAGCCCTTTATTTATTTATGTTACATAAATTCTGCCGTAATCCATGCAGACTCCCAGTGGTTTACATCAGTAAAATATATATAAAGCATAGTAATGAAAGACAAGATGTAAAAATACAAAATAGTAAATTAATAAATACAGTTGGTGACCACTTCAATTTCAAAATGCCCTCCAAAACAATTCTGTTTTTTCCAGCTTCTGGAAAGCCAATATTGTGAGTGTTAACCAAACCTCAAGAAGATTTTTTCAAAGTATAGGGGCAATGATTGAAAAAGACTGTCTGCAAGTCCCTGCCCCCTTCACCTCACAAAACTGGGAAACTATCAACAGATTTTCTTAGGGTACACACATGACATGTCAGACAGGTCACTTCTATATGCAGAAGGCAGTCTTGCAAGTACCTAGGAGCCAAAGCATATTATGGTTTCACAGATTACAATCAGCACATTGAACTGCACCCAGAAACCTACTACAAATACAGTGACTTGGTAAAGGTGTTTTATGACTGCATGAACCCCCATTTGCTAACACATGAGCTGCTGCATTCTCAACGACAGTTTCCATATGGCTTCCAAGGCAGCCCCATTTAAAGTGCACTGCAGTAATCCAATCAGGAGGCTGTAAGTGCACAAGTCACTGTTGTCAGGGCCTCCTGGTCCAAATAAGACTGCAACTGGCCCATCAGCCAGAGCTGAACAAAGCTCATGGCCTCCTCCTGGCTGTCTAGTAGTAGCGTGAGTCCAAGTAAACATTCAGGTTGCAGACCTGCTCCTTCAGAAGGAGCATCACCCCATCCAGGGATATTACCAGAGCTGGCAGAGACCCTTTTTGCAATTCAATTTCAGCCCATTTTATCCCATCTAGACCTTAACAGCCTCCAAACCCTGGATCAAGATTTCTACCACATCTCCAGCTCAGCCCAGGGTGGACATATATAAACTTTATATATAATCTGTCCAAAATTACATTGGGTTGGCTAGAATAACAAGGTGAGAAACCATCCACATTATGGGTTTTGGAATTCTTATCAATCCTTTACCAGCAGTGGCCATAGGAGACATCTGTATTTTCTTTAGTGTAATGAAGAAATGTGCTCTGGGTGTGTTCAGCTTTCCCCTCATGTTGCCACTATATATATGTGCACTGGAAACCCCGGCCATATGCTCCATGATGAGGCACATGACTGGGAAGAAGGGGGCTTATAGTAGACCAGTAGCAGCATTTTGAGTCACTGCCCAATTGCTTCTCCCACAGGAATGCATCGGGAGAAGTCTGTCGAGAATGTTTTTCTCTACAGTCCGTAGCCCATTTAGCCCATTTTCAAATTCACACTTTCTTTGACAGGCTTCTCCAACCATAACAAACTGTGAGTTATCCTGCTGATGGACGCAAGAGACTCCCAAACCCTTTATGTACAACACATCCTTCCAACATTCGATTGGATGGAAAAGAAGAAAAGGGACCAGGCCCGGGTTCACTTTAATCTTTTAAAGACCCAGTTGTGAATAAGTTAAAGTAACATCACTCAGTCACCAACGTCAAGAGAGCACCCAAGACCATTTAATGCCTAGTTTTGCATAACTAGTCCTCTCAGAAGTAGAGGTTGAAAAACAAAGTTCTCCATGAGAGAACTCATTCCTAAAGCCTGAAAATCCTGCAAAAACAATAATCAAGGACACGCGCCACGCTTTTCAAGGCAATGCTGCTTTCCATTCCCCC